ATAATTAACTATGTTTATGGTTTTTCTATTAATAATATATTAAGCACATAAAGTTTTTAGTCCATATTTTTTCTTAGAAATCATTCATTATAAAGTTTTTAGTCCATATTTTTTTTAGAAATCATTCATTATTTTATCTCAAGATTACCCATTAATTTCTCAATTGAATTACATTTATGACATATTAAATAACGAAAATAATAATTATTATACATAATAATATCTAAAATACTAATAGCAAATAAAAGGTTAAAAATTATAATAATCAAGTTTTTTTTTTTTTTCAAGTTCTAACCTACAGGGATAAAAATACAAAAAACTATTGTCTTTCACCTAAAACTTATTCATATAATTAACAAGCGTTTAACAACTCAACTCGTTTAAGTACAAGTTTTAAAAATTTATATTTACTTTATTATTTATATCATTATTATTTATTACATTTTCCATATTTATTAGTAAGTGTTACGACTTAATACTTTTAACATTACTTATCATATTTAATATTTTTTTCACTTTATATTTGTTTCATAGGTTTTTATTATATATATACACATATGTGTGTGTGCGCGCGAGTGTGTGCGTGTGTGTGAGAGAGAGAGTGAGAGTGAGAGAGAGAGAGTATAAAACTTTTAGACATGTAAAAATGTATAAAATTAAATATATAACTTTTTTTTGGTTATATGTCTTATTATGAATCAATTAATTGTATATCTTTATATTATTATATATGATTACAATTTTGTTCATTAATATTATACTTAATATTTATATTTATAATCTCAGTCAATTATTTTGTCGAGTCAACTATACTACAAAATAAAAATAATTCATAAAATTTAAAAAATATATATTTTCAATGATTCTTACGTTGCATTTAGAAAACTATGTTTTCTCTCTTAAATATTTCTTAACTTATTGGAACTATATTGATATGTTAAAAAGTACAAATGAGAAAGATGATAAACTATGAAAATTATAATTTATAAACTGTAATGACATTATGTTATTTTGATGGTATATTTTTTCTATTAACTGAATAGTGCTCCCAATATGAAATTATTTTGGATCCGCCAATGCAATTAGTTTTCCAATGATTAAACGTTTTGTAATTCAATTTACAGTTTTTCCAACGGTTGAATAAGGCTGAAAAAAAAAATCCCAACGAAAATTGAAACAGCAATAAATAATGGTAATGGGAATAATTATATCCACTAAAATTCCAATGTAATTAAAATTGATATCTGTTGGAATAGCTAATAAATTTTTTCAATGAAAGATATACCAATGAAATATCAATTGAAAATTTCAGTGGGATACCTTACCGTTAGATTTTCATTGCGATATAACATTTATTTTTTGTATTTTTTTCGTAAACATTAAAATTTTCATGTAGAATTTTTTTTATTAATTAATTACGTTTACAAATTTTTGTTGAATATTAACCACATGACCTTTTTTTCTCCATATATATTTCTTTTTGCAAATCACTCATTCTTTTATCTCAAGATTACTTTTTAATTTATCAAATGAGTTATCACATATTAAATATTTATTAATTAAAAAATTATTATATTATATATATATAATATGATATTTGTATATTATATTAAAAAAACTAATGACGAATAAAATTTTGCTTAGGTTTTTTTTTCGGAAGGATAGGACATTTTGCTTACTATATATTAGAATAATCTAGTTTTTTTTTTTTAAATAAAAGTTATAATCTACATTGATAATAATACAAATAGCTATTGTCTATCACCTAAAAGTTACATATAGAACTAATAAGCACAAAAAATTAAAAAGTGGTGTAAAATTTGACTCGTTTACATCAATAAATATAAGTTTTAAAAGTTTTATATTTAATTTTATTAATTATAACTTTCTATTTATTACCTTTTTTTCCTATTTATAAGTAAGTGTTACGACTTAATTATATTTTTAATATTATTTATTATATTTTAATATATTTGTTACTTTATAGTTATTTATAAGTAAGTGTTACAACTTAATTATATTAACTTTTAGATTTCTAAAAAATGCTTAAACTTAAGTATAGAGATTTTTGGTTCATATGTCTTATTATGTATCAATTAATGGTATATCTTTATTATAATATATATAATTACAATTTACTCATTAATATCATACTCAAATATATAATTTTTTCGTACATTAAGTTTTTAAGAAAAACACTATTTTCTTATAACAATACAAGATTAATAGATAGATGTATAATGATAATACATCGATATAATTTCTTGGTAAAGATTAATTAACTTTCAATGTATATAGATATATCATGATTCTCGAGATATTTTTAATTAACTTGTAAATTATCATATGATCAAAATTAAATCATGTTGCTCAAATGACATCCCACTCGACTTGAAAACAAATGGATTGAGCTTTAGTATTATACAATTTTATAAAATTGTTCTAATATTATTTTAAGCAAAGAAATAAGAAGATTGTAATTTTAGGTTGTAAAACAATCATTCAACAATTACTCTCTCGTACTATTACAAAATTTATTTATTTTCAAAAATAATGTTTCTATACTTTGTGGCCGTTATAAGAACAAACAATACCAAATATACAAACCCATTTTATAGCAACTTAACTTGATAACACATAAAATAATTAACAGGTTGTTGATATCATTTTCCGTAAGTTAGATTAAGCGACATTAATCCGTTGATTGAGATCAATATAATGGTGATTAGAGTTCATGTGAGTAAGTGACACTTCCACCAGCTTCAAGATGACTGCACAATGAAGGATTCAGCAGAAACCGACATCCTTACTAAGTTGACCGATATCACATGTCGGTCAACACATGTCGGTCAACACATGTCGGTCATCACATGTCGGTTACTACATATCAGCCACGATATACCGGTTATAACTGGGTGGACCGATATCTATAACATGCCACCTCAGCATGGTAAGGCGGTGACAACTCAGCATAATTCATCATTACGTTTATTCAAGTGGCAAGCTATCAAGAGAAGCCACCAAGGACCGCCTTTGACCTTTCAAAATGTAATGATTGTTGTACAGATAAATATGGTATGTAAATATAAAAGGGAAATAGAGAATTTCCCAAAGAGACAAGAATAACACCTTACTAGAAATTACATTTCCAGTTATAATATACAAGTTCTTCATCGTTAAACACTCAAATTTACTTAAACTACATCCCAATTTGGTTGTTGTTAACTTCCATCTGACAACAGTTTGGCGCTAGAGGAAGGGCGGGCTTCAACCTTCGTGTTATATTTCATTCGCTGTTAAAACCATTTGCAAACACAGAATCATCATGTCACAGTCTGGGCGAGATCATGCCACTCACCCTGGGCAGAGCCAGTCAACTAATCATTCCCCGCGGCGTACAACACCACCACCTCCGGCCGCGAATATTACAAACTTCCTTCAAAATCCGGAGTTCATA